TATCAATTTGAGTAAGAATCCCTCACCTTATTCTCTGTTGTGAAATTAAAGTCTAATTAACAATAATACAATATTTTGTGCAATTTAGAAAATATCTATAATTAATTATAGGTTACTAATGGAAACAAAATCAAAAATTATTCTTTACTAATTTTTGTTGATTTATTTTACAGTTTGAATGCATGATAATATCTTATTGATCGATTTTATGGTTTTGAATACAGTTAAATTGGGAAACTGAGATGTGATTGTATTCCCTGATGCATGTTTTGTTTGTTTTATGTGATTACGGTTGAATTGGAAAATTGGAGATTAAAGGTAAATGGAAAATTGTGTGTTTAAGTGAATAATGAAACGACAGCCTTACTGGATATATTGGGAGATGGTGAACGGATCGGGTGCATAAGAAATCCTACCATGAACGTTGCATCATACCAGACGGGGTATCGAGGATTGGTAATTTAGTGCTCATATCGGACGGGGTATGAGGACGGTCCATTTCACCCTCATACTAGACGGGATATTGAGGTTTAGTAATTTGGCACTCATACCAGACAGAGTATGGGGACGACTCGTTAATTGGAAATGTTAAAGGAAATGGTTCACGCGGTGTAGGAACATCCCTATAAACCCCAATGGATATTAGTAGGCTGATAAAAAAAGAAATTATTGTTCCAACCAATTACATATGAAATTATGAGATGTGTTATATTATTGTCTCTATAAGTTATTTTGTAAATCTTGTTACAGTAAATAGACGGTAAATTATTTTATTTATAATGAACGATTTTGCTAAATTAAAAGCTACATTAGTTGTTTTTATTATTTGTACCAACATTCATTTTTGTGTCGGTAAGTAGCGTGATATTCTCACTGGACTAGTGTAGCTCATTCATTTATTAACCATTTAAGATCAAAAGGACCAGGATCCAGAACCAGATCCACAAGAGGGTTGCGAATAGGATGCCAGTTTTATTTATTTTTCGTTTATTTACTTAATTTTTTTGTATTTTCTTTTAAAGGGTAATTCTCGTAGCACTATTTGGTACTTTAAGTTATTGTATAAGGACTATAAACCCTAACTAATTGTTTCGCTTTTGTACTTAATTTATGATTTATTTTCTTTGGAATTTTTGGGGTCATTACAGTCTTGATTTCTTGTTTATTTTACTGTACTGTTATACTTGCTTGATTGATCCACCAACGATTAAAATTATTACTTTTAAATTATTTTTTCTATTTATTGATTGTCCAATCGTGATCTTTATCGGATTCATTGATTTGAAATAAAGGCCCCAATTACGTTTCTCAATTATTGAGGTATGAAATCGTACTGTTTGCTTAAATGTCCTTTGATTGATATGTGAATACACAATAAGATATTGGTATGCGCTTGTTGGTTGTTATTGATAGAAATCTGTATGTGAAAGACTTACTGGGTATCCGAGAAAGGGTGGACGGACCCGGTACATAGGAGATCCTATCGTGAATGTTATCTCATTCGGATGGGGTTGGAAAGTCCTTTATCAGAAAAGTTTGAGAGATATGGTTCACCCTCATACTGGACGGAGTATCGAGGCAATAGAATGTTTGACGTTCATTACCGGATGGAGTATGAAAACGACCAGTTAATTGTTTAAATTAGATATCAGGTTCACAGGTAGGGGAGACACTCTTGTGGACCCCCAGGGGTACCAGTAAACAAGTAAGAAAGGAAAGCTATTATTTCTTGTTCTCTCATACGTGAAAGTGAAAGTGATATGGATATAGGTTTTCACATGTTGTCTTTGTAAAACTCGTTATGATAAGTATTAAACAAACGTCTTCAAGTTTAAATGTATTTAAATAAAATAAAGGCTCTATTAGTTATTTTTATGATTTTTTTACTAATATTCAATTTTTCTGTATATGTGATTA